AATCCAATAATGTTATTCCAGGTGTACCCGTGAATTGTATAAGTAAAGGTTGATTCCCACTTCGATTTACCCATTGGTTTAGTAACTTATTAGTGATATTTTGTGCTTCATCCTCACTTTCGGAGCTGTATACAATTCGGCGGCATTTTCGGTTAGGGCGCGCGGTAACCTCAATTGATGCATCGCTTCTCTCTTCGGAAGATGATAATATAAATCTACGTGTGCGTTTTATACTTAATAGGAGGCCTATTTCAGTGGAAATAGAACTGGAACTATCTCTGTCGTGTACTTCCATATTACCTATCATTAGGGATAAACAATGAAAGTTGAATAACTCGATAAATTAAAAAAAATAAAAGATGAAAGAATAATTCAATGAAAGTTAACAATAGAAACTTGTTTTCCAACAGAAACAAATGAAAAACAAAAATGTTGTCTTTGTATATTTATTTACTCCCTTTTTGGAAAATATTTTATTTGCCTCGTTCTTTATTTAACAAATTCGAATGTAGCAGGTTTTTTACTAGTCGAGATGTTTCGAACTGACTGACTTTTACGATCGAACTGATCGCAGCGCCACGTGTACCACAAGTGGTACACGATGTGATAACTACTCAAGATAACTGCTTATCGATCGATGATGTAATGAAATATTGTGTGATAATATATCAATCTTTAGTCAAAATATGAAATGGTCTGAACGATAAGTCAGGCAAAAAGGGCTTGGCACGGAACGTGTTAACCTCGACCTAGGTTAAGGCCAACTAGGCGCCGTGGAGTCATCAATCCCATACTACGGCTGATCGAAGTCAACCGTAGCTCCTGCGGGGAGTAGATAGGAGCAGAGGGAACCTCGTTAATCCATTCATGCGCCTCACGACTTAGATGACGAGGCATTTGGCTATTCTCTGTACCGACACTCAGAAGGAGTGCCGGTAGACTTCCGTGGCAAACCCCCACGTTGGGTTATAACAAAAACTATATAAATGGATTGTCACGGGCCTACTTTCCAGCGAAGCTGCCAAAAGATCTGCCCGCGAGCTTGGGAAAATTAGGAACGGGGACCCTTTCGGGAGGCGACCTTGGCCGCACTCTTGTGCGCTCAGGGAAAACCTCGCGAAGGTATCGCCCCGGGTCCTGATGCGTAGAACCCGCCCTACTATGCAATAGCATAGCAAGGACTCGCACCATCTGGTGTAAATTGTCAGGCGGGCTAATTGATCCTTTCAGCTGGCAGTTGCTTCGTTCAATTGTAAAATTCTTCATTGCCGTAAGGCTATGTTGTTTGGTAAAATTGTTTCCAGCCTAAATAGGCTTGGTCATTTCTTAAAATTCTCAATGTCGTCATAGCCCGAAGGCAGTCATGAGTGATAAATAAATAAATAAATAAATAAATATAACGACTGCATTACGTAGTCGTAGTCAATAAACATGTTCGCAATTTCGATTGACGAACGGAGGGCAATGAGCGACTCCGTCAGTACATCTTTTGCAGTTAGCCCTAGTAGTTTTAGGTTTCTGGCCGTACTGGGTGGAATTGCTCCCCTACTGACCACCACGACCGGCAACACTTCCGCATTTTTCCTATTCAATCGTGCTTTCAGGTACGCGGCAGTCTCTTTGCATTTATTTCCTTTTTCTTTGGCTGCTCTGTATAGGCTGTCTTTGTCCTCGTATCTTATCGTGACATCCACGACCCGAAGCCTATCCTGGTCGTCTATAACCAGATCTGGCTTCTTCAGGTCGCCGATCACGTTAATCGTTGCCTCTTTGCATACCTCATACCTCCGAGATGTCTTCTCTTATATAAAGTTAACTACTTCATTGTGCCGCCTGATCCTGAGTGGTTTGGTGGAGATACAATTCCCCAGCACGTGTGCCAGAGTCTCCATTTGTTCCTTACATTTTCTGCAAATGGGGTCTATCTGCTTTTTAGCTCGTTTGAGGGCTACTTTAGTGCAGTATGTACTAGTTCTTAACTTTAGCGCGTCTATGTACCTAGATGGCTTTAGCAGCGACGGTGTCCGCAGCCACGCATTGCTATATATATCATTTGCGTAGCTGCTGACTCCCTGTCCCTGGGAGACGAGCGTCTCCCATCTTTGGACATGTCCCTTTCGGTGGCTTACGCGCACCTTTTCGATTTCCTCCTTCGTCGTCGGCCATTCCACCCTCAGGGATTTAGCGTACTTTAGGATGGTTGCCTTTTGGCTTTCATACGCTTCGCGTACAGCCGGATCGCTATTGTTCATCATTTGAAGCGCACTCCTCAGTTTGGCGACCCGGACTATGTCCGCCACTTTCTACACACCGAGTCTTCCGTTTGCTTTATCTGTATATATTATACCATTTGTCTTGGTAGGGTGCAGATGTAGGCTGCTTTGATAGTCTGCTTAATCTCATGATCTAAGAACTCGAGTACGCGTAGGTGTGGCGGACTGGCAACTATCCCATGAATATATTTAGGTAGTAGATGGGTTCTTATTAAATTTACTTTTTGACGAGGTTTTAATTTCACGTGTAAAATATTTTCCGCCAATTTGATTATTTTATCGATCTCGGTGCGTTGTAAGCCCCTCCAGGGACTTATGGAAACGCCAAGGTATTTAAAAACATTTTTGGGACCCGATAATGGAATAGCCGTATTATTTAGTGTTAGATTCGGGTCCCGGATATGCCATGTCTTGTTTTTTTTGGACGACCTGGAATGTTAGGCATTTGCTCGTTTGAATGGACACGTCCAGCGCTGCTAAATATTTATGTAGTTTAGCGATTTGTCGGGTTACCTCCTTTTCGTTTCTGCCCAACAAGACCAGGTCGTCCGCGAACGCCAGGATGGAGACATTCTCGCCTCCCAGAGCAATGCCCCCCGTCGTCTCGTCTGTAGATCCGATTATTGAATCTATTATAGTATTAACCCTTTGCATTCGAGAGGTGAGCTTCAGTCACAATTTCATAAAATTTGGAAGATCGATATTAATTAATATATGAAATTTAATGTAATGTAACAGTGTGCAAAGTATTGAAATCAAATAATTCTACAATTCTATTATTATACAATTAAAGAAGGCATTAAAATAACTGTTACACTATTTTTATTCCATAGTCTTATATTTTTTAATTAGTACTAAAACATTTTATTTAAAAAATTTAACTCCTAGGATTCATAGTTCTTTTTAGTTTGATAAATTTCAAAGCATTTTCCTACATGCAGAGAAACGTTACAGGAAGAACACATATATGCATTACAACTTCTTTTCTTGGCAGCAGTGCAGATTTTACAAGCCCTTCGCGGGTTTTGAATTCTCCCTTTACCACTGGTACGTGTTATGCTATGTTTCCTCAAGTCCGCGATAAGCTTGTCTAGTGGATCATACCTCGGCGATCTTTTATTACATTGAGCAGCCGATCTTGATTTTTGCTCCTCTTCATTCCCATCAATCCATGCTAATGCAAGATTTAGTAAAAATTGTTCGAATCTAATAGAATCTTCGGAATTTTTTATGTATATGTGGTACGCGTTGAATAATGCACAGTTTATAAGGTATAAAACCGATTTTTGGTCTATTTTTTTGCTTTGCGAAGTATGGAATAGCACGATAGGTATTGATTGACGCGATCAACACCTTTCATAAATTTATTATACTCCCGTATGTAAATTAGTTTCATGCTCTTCTTTTCGGTTTTTTTACTCACACATTCGACCATGTCTGCTGAATGTATCGTGGAAGAAATTGTTATCAATTTTTTAGCTGTACTCCATTTTTGTACCAAAATCTTCCCTTTTCTACGAAATTCCATTAACTTGTCTTCCAATGTAGCAGATTTTAAACAATTTGGCACTCCTCTGCTTTCTCTAATTGTGCCACAGATATTTGTTTTATGCTTTAGTAATTCCTCTGCTACTATTATACTATTGTAATAGTTGTCCATATATACATCGTGTCATAAATTTATATATGGCAATAACACTGGAAATATTGTCGCAATTAGTGATTTTCTTTGCGCACAGTATATTTCTAAATTGCATATATAGCCAGATAGATATTTCTTTAATCGATCGAGCATACCCTCTAGTCTGGAGGGGGAAGGTGTTTTTGCTGCCCCGTACCCATAATGAAGGCCCAAGTACCTGAGCTGAGTAGAGACGTTTAGAGTTGGCACATGTTCATTTTTGATCTTTAGGAGAGGCCGAGTCTCGACAACCAGTCTCTTGGTGCCAGGCACTCTCAGCATTTATAGTGCTGCACATTTTTTGATGTTAACATCGAGACCATGCCTCTCGAGGAAAGCCTCAATAATCACGATCTAGCTCCTCATGATGGAAGGGCTAGGAGCCACGATCACCACATCATCACCGAACGCGAGAGACGTAATATTTGCACCCCCGACCTGAACACCCTGGCCAGCATTAACTTTACAGAGTAGTTCGTCCAGCACCAAGTTGAAAAAGAAACCGGACGTGGGGTCACCCTGTTTGACACCACGTGAAATCTTAATTGGTGCAGATCTTTTTCCTCTACACTCCAAAACAGTTGTCACACCGTTGTACATTTCTTGAATGAGTTCAACGGTGTGCTTATCGATCTTTTGCATTCTTAGTGCATCGATTATCGATACAATGAAGACACTGTCAAAGGCCTTTGCCAAGTCAGTAGAGATAATAATAAAAGGCTTGGCTTCGTCCCTCTTAGTTCTTATGAGTGTCTGAAGGATTGTGCTATTTGCCATGACTCCGTCGGTTTTAACAAAACCGCTTTGGCTATGAGCTAGCTGGATTTTGCTCTCTAGCCGTGTGGTGATAATTTTGCTCAGGAGCCGCACGATCCGACTTGATATAGTTATAGGTCTCCACCGTTTTAGGTCTTCTATATTTTCCGATTTCGGAATGAGAGACGTTAGATTTAATCCGAGCACAGATGGAAAGTGCTTCATTCCCCATATAATGTTTAGCAAGGCATACAGGTCGTACGGCGGCACCGCTCTCAGGTGTTCCCTCATTATGCCGTTACAACCTGCCGCTGACTTCCTCGTGTCAGACAGATGAACTTGTATCTCTGAACTTGTATCGTCTCACACACCATACGGACTAAAATTCCATATTCTATAATTTTTGCAGGGTTATATGTACGAAAAGATAACCTGCTCCTCCAAGGAATGATACTTTCATCCAGCGATAATTCTTTCTCGGGTTTATAAATTTTTTGAAATTTTTCTACCTGGTTTGTGTAGACTGGTTTTATTTTATCAAGCCTTTCTTGACAGTACTCATTATTGCTGAAGTGCCAATACTTCCACAACTGCCGAAATCTGTTTCTTTGCATTGTGTTCCCGAAAATAGATGTATGTAATCCTGGGTGGGTAGGCCAATAATCGTCTCTTTGTGGCTTTTTTACTATTCTCATTATGATAACAAGCCCCCAAAATTCTTTCATTTCTACAACATTTGTATCAATCCAAGTTTTATTCTTTGTTGGTGCATTGTTGTTATCATTATTCTGATGATTACGATATAAGTTTGTTTGTGTGACAAATAAATTAAATAAATCATCCCCAATGAACAATTCCACAGTTGATAATATGTCTGGTGTGCATGGTACCTGTAACCCAAACCGTTGCAGGCAAGCATGAAAGTCAAGTTTAAAATTAACTTTTGACCAATCATTTGCCACAGAATTCTCTTCATCACTTTCAGATTCACTAATTATTGGTCTTCCCTTATTTTTGAATCGTCTCACCATGATATCGCTTCCACTGTCCGAATCACTGTCACTTTCGCTATCAGAGCAATTATCCTCTTCTGATAACGGATCAGCATATATTTCCTCATCGTAGAGCATTTTGAAGGATATTTTAAAACTTGTATTAGATTTAATCCTCTATGGGCTCGTGTAACTTTCAAGTTACATGCTAATGTATGGGTATTTTATTAAATACTGCATTCATCGTTATCGTCTTGATCACTCCAGTTCGCGATTTTTCTTTCGATGTATTTATAATTATTTTTACAATACCTCTCGTGGTTCCATTTTTTAAAATTCTAATTCTTTTTCATTTACCGGTTATTTGATCATGATAGATTAGGTCCTCTATGGCCTCCTATGATCTTTTCCCACAAGATGGCGTGGAAAATTATCTTATCTATCTATTACACATTATCTTGGCACAATAGTACAACCGTTGTTAATTCAAACTTTCAATATGAATTCGTTATAATAAAATTGTCAAAACTGTTGAATTTATTGGTTGATATTTGTTGATTTTATATTACATACAATTCTTGTAGCCAAGAAAAATATATATTTGGTCCATAGAGGGTTAACGTAAGCTTCCGATATTTGAAGGCAGCGAAAGACTGTCTGAAACCAACAAAACAAGTGTCCGCGAAAAAAGATTTCGATAAAAGACAATATGGTAAATTGGGAGGGGAAAACAATTGAAAATAATTTTCCCTGATCGTGAAATGTTGCTTTACAATAATATGTCTATTCGTACAAACGTCGATACGAAGCATCATCGTTGGTGAAAATAAGTCACGCGTTGTGACAGCGGCCGGCAACGTGTTAAGGGATCTTATCAAACACGCCCAGACCCTCAGCGGCGGCAGCTTCCTGTGGTCGATCTATTGAAGGTGGACAAGATGGTCAGTCCACCTATCAATACCCGCGTTGATATAACTCTGGCGTCATGGCTGGTGATAGACCAGCAGGCCGAGGGAATGAAGGTGTCTAAACGATTCCCCGCTCCAAACACCGCGAGAGGACAGTGTCATAGATGTAAATACGACTTTCTGTACACCATACCTCGACATCACATGGCCAGCGAGGCCCTGATACTTCGAGATCTTCGCTTTGCGTGCCAGATCGAGATTGGTTGATCGCCCGCTATCAAGGCGTCAACGACGATGACTTTGTCGTCGCGTCTAACAATAAGGTCGGGCTTCCTCAGTTGTTTTAAAGTGAGGTTCTTTGAAGATCTCAGAATCCCGACCAGCTCGTTTGGGGAGGTAGTCAAGACAGGCGTTGTGGCGCCTAATTCGCGCATAATGTGTTCTGTCGCATGTCTGGAGCACATGCTGTAATGTTTCGGCATGTCCACAGCCAGCCCGACAGTGGACGTCACGAACACGGTTTCGCGCCATTCTAGATCTTAATGGAATGGCGTTAATCCTGAGCTTATTTAAGTTGATACAGTTCCGCCCAGAAAGGAAGAGGCCCCCACAAGATGGATGGATGGGGTGAGACTCCCACAGCTCGCAACGCAAGCCCATCGACGACCGTTTATATGTCCCGGCCAAGTACCTCACCATCAACTCTGGAACACCCGCTGTTCGTAGCGTGTCCATTATCGATTCGTTGGCCACCGAGTCAAACGCCTTGGCGATATCCAGGGAGGCCATATATAGAGATTTAAAATTTTGTCGACTGTATCTCAGCGCAAAGTCTATCAGGAAGATGTTTTTAGAACATCCATCAATGGATCTGAAGGCTTTTTGCCTGTTGTCTAGTCGAACAGATCTCGACAGGCGGTTGGCCAGAATCTTGTGAAAGATCCTGACCAAGCCGGAAGAGACTGTTATAGGCCTAAAGTCAGATGGATCTGATGCTCCGTCCTTTTTAGGTATCAATGTGGTGTAAGATTCGAGAAGATGCGAAGGCATCCTACCACAACAGATCTCGACAGGCGGTTGGCCAGAATCTTGTGAAAGATCCTGACCAAGCCGGAAGAGACTGTTATAGGCCTAAAGTCAGATGGATCTGATGCTCCGTCCTTTTTAGGTATCAATGTGGTGTAAGATTCGAGAAGATGCGAAGGCATCCTACCACAAAGGATCACGATGTTAAAGATCCTCGCCAAGATACCCAATGGGATTTCTCTCAGTTGCTCCACTGAAAGACTATCCGGACCAGGGGCTGACCCCGCTTTAGGGAAAGCCGCTTTAACCTCCGTTGGAGTCACCGGACACCAGATGTTAGTAAAAACCTCCTCGGACTCAATGCCAGGTGTACTGTCGTCCTTCGACGTCATGACTCGCTCCCAAAAGGGGATCATGACATCCATCGGTGGAGCTGAGGATGTTCTTTTATCTTTCAAGAGGGCCCGAATGCAGGTGGATCGGTTCTTCTTCCACGCTCTTTGAACCCTAGAGTATTCGGCCCTCCTGGTCCGTCTCCGCGTCAAAGCAGCGCCTCGGGTATTATCCGCCTTAGGTGGACTCCGTGGTGGTGGAGCTGGCGGGAATGTCTCGAGGAGATACAAAGATAACTCCTCATAAACACGGTCCCTGCTCCAGATGTTTAATGAGCTGCAGATTGAGCTCAGCTTAGCGCTGCTCAGGCACGCGCAATCACAGGGCGGCATCTTATTGATGTAGTCGATTACGCTGGCTACGGCCTCTTCCTCTGAGAGGTCCGGACTACGGCTAGCTGCCGACTCCGCAAGTGGCTGATGTTCTGCCGGATCAGGATTGTCTGCTTCCTCTGGTGGCACCATAGTTCCAGATGTTGAAGGGACTAGCTCTTTGAGCGCCTTTTCCACAGCTGATTTGTGGTCAGCTTTGCGCCTCTGCCCCTTGATGGACTCAAGCGAGCGTATTCTTCGGGAAGAAGCTCAAGAGTTCCTGATTGACGAACCTCATGCCCTGCGAAAGTAATTGCGCTTCACGGCGTGCCAAGAGCGCACACTCCTCCGGGTTCCAACGCGTCTTCCTCTGGTCGGTGTTCTGACCGGCATCGTACCATTCCACATGAGCCCGCTTCTGATTCACTCCGCGTCCGGATTTGGTGGTAAAGTTTCGGGTGCAACTGGGAAACTCGCAAGCGAAACCATTTGAGGAGACCGGACATTCTGGTAGATCCTTCGAAACTGGTTCAGTCACACCAGTGGGTGGACTGATTTGATGACCACCTAACGAGGGTACGTCATCTATCCGAGGCTTTTTCAATTTCGAGTTTGGACCAGTTGTATCAAGGCTGTGGGGGGAGGCAGCCCGCACAGCCGAAAACGCAGAGGCAGTTCTTAGTTTCTGTTGGTACGTGGCGAAATATGAGCACTCTTGAAATTGGACGAACACACTTTTTATTTTACAAACGTACAGATCAGATGTGAAACAAAGGCTGCAACGACAACGATGACGACGACGACGACGACGACTCGAAAAACAAGTGAGGACTCAGGAGACACGCGGCTCCCCACACCCAGCAAACCTCCACTCCCTTCAGGATATACCCAGCTCTTTTAGGTAATAAATGTAGCCGATTGTCCAGTTAATTCTCAACATTAACCTCCCACTCGAAACGGCACCCGGTTGGCACACCATTCACCAGAGTGACATCAATGTCACTCTGCCCATTCATACTCGAAAACGTATAACATTCACTCGGCTCATTCAACACGACCATTCCTTTTGCCAACACCCATTCCTCAAGTAGTCTCCCACGAATTTCATTCACCTACGTACGGCTCAATTTCATTGAGTACATGGATACCACAAACAATTCACCAAAGTCCCCCTTTAACCAAACGCACGCCATACTCACTAGTGCACTCACTCACAGACAGGGATTCAATGTTCCCTCCAGTCACGACACTGCTGCTCTGGCCGGCGCACTCTCGCACACATACACCTGCCACTCACTCGGTAATCCACACACACAACCATGCGATACATACAGTTCCTGCAACAGAGCACAGCTATACCATTATTCACATACATCATTTAACCAAAATCACACATTACCGCATACGCTCGCTGACAATTACACTGACACACACTAACGCGCGTACTAGTCATAACTAATATGCGCCTTTTCTCTTTCGAGCAACCTCGCATACTCCGGGCACTCAACGGACAGAACCGAGTGGCCCGCGTTCTTCCCTCTCAGTTTGCAGTTTCGATACAATACAGCCAGTCACTTCCACAATAACGTTACCCACGTCCACTCCTTTACGATTTATGCGATTAACCACACGCACACGTTTCTTATATTCTAATTTATTCAGGTTGGTAATAATTTTGCTCAAGAGCCGCACGATCCTACTAAATATAATTACTGGTCTCCATTGTTTTAGGTCTTCGATGTTTTCAGATTTCGGAATGAGGGACGTCCGATTCAACCTGAGCACAGATGGAAAGTGCTTCATTCCCCATATAATGTTCAGCAAGGCGGCACCGCTCTCAGGTGTTCTCTCATTATACCGTCGCATCCTGCAGCGGACTCCTTCATGTCAGACAGGTGAGTAAGTATCGCTGATGGCTTGAGATACGTTTATGCTAGTCACTTTAGGCAGAGCTCTCGGTTTCCAGTCCAGATCTTTATGGGCGAACACCTGTTGAAAGTGTTCCTTGAATTGGTCGATGGTTGGAACTTCGCCGACTTCGGAGCCAGATCCCTGGAGTACCTGCTCCGCCGCCTGCGATGGATTTGTCTGGTACAGCCTTTGTAGTCTGGCATATTCACCACTACACACGCCTGGGAGATGACTCTTCTTCTCGGATACTAGGACAGATTAAAGTCTGACCCGACACCTCATTTTTTTTTTTTTTCTTGAAGGAGGGGAAATGCAAGTTACGCACGCCGCTTCCTAGTTGGAGAGCGACATTGTGAGACTCCTCTCCTAGGAGAGGCTACCCACTAAAACCTAACTCCTATCAAGTTTATGCCTGTAAGGCAGGCAGCATCTATAGGTCTTAAGGGAGAAGAAAGGGGGGGGGGATTTACCCAACACCTGTCCTATCGTGTCCGGACACCATTTCGTTAAAACGCTTAAAGCAATGGAGTGTTCCAATGGTCGTCCGGGTGCTAATGACGGCGGCATCTTTAATCCTGATCACCTGAAG